CAATGGTTTTAGAGAAAGATTGGAAGGATGTTCTATACAATGTTGACAGTGGTGGTCTGGGTAGTAGAATTGTGTCGACTCACTTGATTCTTGGCACTTTTCTGTGCTCTCTGTCTTGTCTTCCATGAAAAAGGCAGTAATTGTGATTTTGCTGAAGATTTGGGGAGCTAGGCTGAGTCTCCTCCGTCCCTGCCTCTGGATTCACCTCTGCCGCCTCCCCACAGGTTCCAGAGCGATGCGACAGGCGTGATGGAGGTCGAGTCCTCCTACTCAGACTTCATCTCCTGTGACCGGACAGGCCGACGGAACGCAGTGCCTGACATCCAGGGAGACTCCGAGGCTGTGAGCGTGAGAAAGCTGGCTGGAGACATGGGCGAGCTGGCCCTCGAGGGGGCAGGTTAGAGCCAGTGGGTCTTGGTCATGGGAGAGGTGCTTCTGGCCTGGGGCTGACCACAAACTCTCCTGTCTCCTTGGAGAAGGCACTGCACTGAAATCAGGCTGCAGAGTCTGCCCTGGGCCCTGCATGAAGGAGCGACTCTCCGGTTGGTCCTCCTGGGCTCCTCCCTTCCCCACCTACTCACCCTACCTGCAGGTCCCTTCAGTTCTGTCTCCAAAATCACCCCAGGGCCTCCACTTCACCCCACCGGCCTATTCTGACCCAGACCCCCCAGTATGCCCTTGGCCGACAGCCATGGCCCTCCCATCCCTCTCACACCACAGCCAGGGGGTGCATGCATTTGCAGATTATGTGCCGTCATAGTGACCCTGTATAGGGTTTCCAAGGAGCAACAGATGGGTTTGAACTGCCAACCTTGTGGTAGGCAATCCAATGCTGATCCTACAGCACCACACCAGGACTCCAGGGTTCTCCTAAAAGCCAGTGGTGCTACACCCCGAGTGAAGCGGCCTTCCATTCATCCTGCTGTATGACAGGATCCTGTGTGCTCCTCGGACCCCGCTTGCCCTCCCTTCACCTTCCCCTGCTGCTGCATTGCTCTGGGTGCACTTCACCCAGTGTGGCTACCGCCACCTCCCCTCCAGGCCTCAGCACTGACACCAGCCCCTCAGACAGGCCTTCCTCCATGGCGTCCTGCACAGCCACTGATTCCATCGCTCTTAGACAAGGGGTCTCCTGTTCTGCCTGGCACACAGCGGGTGCTCAGTGCCCACAGCCTGAATGAACCCACATCAGAAATGAGCATCTGCCGCCCCACGGGTTCTTGGGACATCCCTCCCTCCATCTGTCTAAAGTCTTCATGGAGGCCAAGCCCACTGCTCAGCCTGGGCCCCTCCTCCAGGAAACCTTCCTTGCACTGACCAGACCCTCTCCTCCCCACCCCAACTCTGTCACATCACTTCCCAGAGTGCAGGCTCTGTGTTTCACCCGCACTGTGACTGTCCTTAAAGAGCCACATCCCTGTATGTCCCCAACCCAGAGCCCTGGTACCCTGCAAGCTTAATGAGCGCAAAGAAGACCCCATGGGAGGAGGCCCAGAGAAGTTGTGTGCCTTGATTAAGGTCACCCAGTAAGTTCATGGTGGTAGCATGAGAACCTGACTTCCTTGAGAGAGTCCCCTGGAGTTCCCCTCCCCCACCCTGTTTCTACCCCACAGTGTTTAGTGTTGGAGGATGAGGGATCTGTCAGCCCTCCCTGGCATGTGGGCCCTCCTCTTCCTCCCTAGTGCCCTGTGAGTGCCTGGCCCAGCACACTGCACCCTCTGTTCCCTCCTCCTCCTCCTGTTCCCTGCCTGGCTCCCCCTCACTCTGGTGGCCTAGAGTTGTCTTCAGCACTGCTCTGTGTCCGTGCTCGTGGGACCTGGCAGTGTTTCAATCAGTGGTGTTCACTGACCAACTGAATAGCCAGAGTCACCAGCTGCCACACTGGACATGCTGCCACTTTGCTTTCTCTTATGGTGTGTGTTCTCATCATCAGCTCTGGGAAGCTTTGTCTCTGCCTTCCTCTACTGTATAGTCTGTGTCCTCAGGTCCTTCTAACATCCTGCTTCCCTCTCTGCAAATCCTGCAGTCACCTCACATTGGCCTGCTAGGGGACTGACATTTAAAAAGGGGACCTGAAGAAAGAACAGGCCTCACCACAAAGAAGTGAAGCAGGTAGAAGAGGCTGGCAGAAGACCCCACAGCTAACAGTTCGCACAGACACACACGCTGGACCTGACTGGGGCCAGGGGACTCACTGAGGAAGTGGGACTGCAGAGTCAGGTGTCAGCCCCCAGATTCTGATCCAGCTGCCTTGAGATGGAGCACCCATGCATAACCAGGGGCAAGGCTGTGCATGGGTCCTTAGCCTGCCCAGAAGGCCTGGTCCTGTTCGTTGACACTCCTACCACTATAGCTCCTCAGGCAGGGAGCACAGGACCATGAGTGCTAGACCATAGCAGGACAAGAAGAAATAGATGTGCGGACATCTGCTACCATCTTAGATACTGGCCTCAGGGAATCCCAGGGTGCTATTTGGAGAGGAAAGGGCTATAAGGACCTTCACCCCGGGCCAAGGGAGAGGTGAGGCTGGCACAGGGGAGTGTGCCCTGCACATACTCACGGCATCCTGACCGTGTAGATCCGGAAATGGGCTCTAAGAGATAAGAGTCGAATTAACTTGTCTGAGGCCCCACAGCAAGGCCCAGATTACTGGGAATTTAAAGAGGCAGCATCCCACCTGAAGGGCCAGGAGACTCAGAGCTGAAGAGGGCATCACAAGCTGGAAGCCGTCCGAGCACAGTCTGATGTCTCAGGCTGTTGGTGGGTCAGAAAGATCTCCTGGGATTAAGTCTGGGCAGGTACCTCCCTAGGGCAGGAGGGATCTGGAGTAGACTCCAGACAAGTTTTGTCTGTACCGCTCACTACTGCTAACCCCGCATCCTAAGACCAAATGAGGTAATGGTAACACAGACCTTTATGACCCTCGAGAGGGTGGTTTCTTGGAAGAATTTAAATTTAGTGAAAGGCTGCTGGCTCTGGCAACAGGCAGGGCTCCTCTGCTTGATCTCAGCAAATCCAGTCCCTCACTGAGCCTCTGGTGTGGCATTATAGGATCAGCATTGGACCGCCAACCATAAGGTTGGCCGTTCAAACCCTCCAGTGGCTCCTCAGAAACCCTATGTAGAGTCACTATGAATCGGAACTGACTCAAACGCACTTAACAACAGCTGAGCCTCAGTTTCCTCATCTGCATCACGACCCTCATCACCCCTCCAGGATCTGGAACTCCACTGTAGGGTGCTTACAGAAGGCAAGGGTGACGTCGGGGCAGGCCCTGGGTGAGCTGGCGACATCACAGCGCTCTGCCCACAGGCCAGGGCCATGCAGGGCCCACTGTGAGAAGTGGCCTTGTGGTCACTCAGCCTGGTGCCCTCCTCACCCCTGCACAGCCCACCTCCCACTGTGGGGCTTGAAACCCTCTGAGCCTGGTACTGCCCTTCTCCCCTGCTTCACAGCAAGGCCCCCTGCTGGGTTGGTTTGGGGAGAATGCACTGTCAGCACCCACTGGGCTCCTCCCTACCCCATCCCCGATAGAGGCCACCCCCGGAGCTGGTCCTTGTCTGTCTGAGGAGAACAGTGTCTTCTCTGAGCCCTTGGTAGTAGGTCGGGGGCTGAACAGTTGCCCTGTTCTTCTGGGGAAGGTGCTCGAGCCTCCAGATCCTCAGCCTCCCCTCTCCTGGCGCTTCAGCTGCCATTGACGATCCTGACCTTGGAGTTTTTATTGAGCTGAATACACTGCAAGGAGCCCTGATGGTACTGTGGGTTACACATAGGGTTGCTAACTGCAAGGTTGGTGGTTCAAACGCCAGCCACTCCATGGGAGAAAGATGAGGCTGTCTGGTCCCATAAATAGCTACAGTCTGGGAAACCCAAAGCAACAGTTCTACTTTGGCCCATGGGGTTGCTGTGAGTCAGAGTTGACTAGGCCACAGTGGGTCCCGTGGAGTGATATACAGTATATGTGTCAATTAGAGTGTCTCAGACCAGGCTGAGGTTCCTCCTGAAGCCCTGCCTGGCTCGTCTTGCCCGCAGGGCTGAGCCACCGTGATAGTTTGGCTCAGCCCCACCAACCCTCCACGTGTCTGGGTAAACACCTCTCTCTCCTCTCCAGAAGGACAGGCGGAGGCGAGTGCCCCAGACAAGGCGGCCAGCACCCAGCCCGAGAGCAACGACGGGACCACCTCATCGTGAGTCCCACCTTGCCCAGGAGGCTGGAAGAGACCTGCTGTCCTCCAGGAAGGAGAGCCCTGGAACTGGCTTGGCAGCCTCATCTGAACCCCGTGTCCTCAGCGAGCCTGCCCACAGTCCCAGAGCAGGCTGAAAGGCCCTGCCCTGGGAAAGCCCTCCGCCCCTCCCGTGCCCACCACGGCAGGATGCTATTTATTCAGATGGAGCTGGGACTCGGGCTGGGCCCTGCCCCCCCAGGAGAGCTCCTCTCACCACCCGACTATGGGAGGCCTGGGCAGGGACCTCGTCCCAACACCAACCCCTTCTCTCCACTTCTAACCTTCGGGGGCAAGGCCTTCTTATCCCTTTTATAAGAAAATACTTTTAAACTTTTTAAAAACTTTAAGCCTTTTTTTTTTTTTTTTTTTCAGTAGAGAGGGAGGCACTGACAATCGATTCAGTGGGTTTTTTGGAAGCAGCTAGAGCTGCTGACCTTGTATGCAGCCTGAGGGTCCCTTGTGGAGCTCTGCAGCTCCACTTTGATGGAAGGGATTTTGTGCTCAAAACCATCTGACCAACTCCTTGCTCTTTCTGTCGAGAGAAAGTGACACCTCGTATCTGGGAAATAAATGTTGATGGTTTATGATTACGATGGTTTATGATCATTTCTCCTTTAAACAGCAAAAGCAGGGATCGAGCCTTGTTTTCCCAAAGCCCACCACTATGGGGCGGGGGGTGCATTCTGCACCAGGCTTTCACAAGGTGAAATGCCGAGGGGACGCACCATCCTGGGCCCACTGACCAATGCCTCCTCTGTTACCATAGCCTCTCTCTCATGCCAGCCCACTTCCAGGAACCCAGAAGGAAGGGACTCCTAAAACCCAGAGAAGGAGGGGAGCAGGTAAGCAGGCAGCTCTTCAAGAGAAGTTTCATTTCTTCTGGAAAGCAGGCAGGCTCTGGGGCCCTCTGAGTTCCCAGCGTTGGAAACTCTAGCCCCCTCCCCCACCCCATTCACAGCCTCCATGGGACCTCTTGGGGCCCCTCTCCCTACCAAGACCACCAAACCCTGCCATGTGCTGTTACAACATCAACCCCAACAGTAAGCATCAGCATCTTTATTAATCACCAGAGTCTCAGATGATCAAAGGAGGAGGGTTTCAGAATCAGCCAAGCCATCCTGCCCAGGTACGTGTTCAGAGGAGGTATCCATGCACACAGAAACTGGCACACAGCTTCCAGCGCTTCGGCTGACCTCCAGAGTCACAGTTTCCCTGGCAGAAACAGAGGTGAGAGGATTGGTGACTTCACCAAGTCACGGAGACTCAGACAGCATGGTATCTTCAGGGGGTCAGCCCTGTTCACCAGAGCAGACAAGCAGAAAAATTAGGCAGTTCCTAGTGCCCAGGACTTTGTCACATCACAGAACATCAGAACCAGAGAGGAGCCCGCATGTACAGACGGGGAGACAATGACTTTTCAGGGCCAACCCAGGGGAGAATAGAGCCAGGACCTGGGCCCAACTCCCATATCACATCCCAGACGTACGACTGGGCTTCAGAAAGTCTCCCCTTAAACCAGCCCCTCAAAACAGCACTGTACAGAGTCCAAGTCAGCATAGGAGGCTGTCCCCAGGGGCCTAGAGTCAGGAGTGACCACACATCATTGGTGCTGCATCAGAGGACAGTATCCCGTAGGAATCCCACAGGGAGCAGTCTGGAGCCAGGGCAGGGCGATCTCAGGAGCCCAGACAGGAGCATACCTGCAAAGGCCGGAGCTGGCATTCCATAGGCCTTAGAGAGCAGATCCAGAAGTTCCTTCTTCTCACCCTCGGGGAGGAAACTGGACTTTGCTGCATTGATGTTCTGGAAGGACCAGCAAGATAGACGGCATGGAATGAAAGAGCATGGAGGAGAGCCCTCAATATTCTAGTGAGAATCCATTGTCTTCACTGAACGTGGGGAATTAAGTGCAGAGGAGGAGGACTTTATCCTCATAGCACACCCCAGACTCTTAAGAGCGTCAGAACTGGACTTCAGAAAGTCTCCCCCTTAGACCAGCTCCTCAAAATGACACTGTACAGAGCCCAAAATCCATAGCAGCCAACACCAGAGCAGAGACCACAAAGCTCTGTGTTCTTAATGCGACACTTGTATATGAGAAGGAAGTTGGAGAAGCCTTTAGAGAGACACACTTGCAGGGACAGGCTCAGTTATCATAGCTCCTTAAGATCTGGGCTCAGTCTGGGATCAATGGACGGCCTGAAAAGTATGTGAAACATTGGACACTGGGCTTATCATTATGGGGAGAGGGTGAACCACTTTCAGCCTTTGAGGGCACTCAACCCAAGCAGAGGATTAAAAGCTTGGTCTTTGATCAGGAGACCATTGGAAGAGATCTATCTAACTTTAGGTTTGGCTTGCCTTGGCCTGGCTCTTGGTCTCCACAGGTCCCGGGAGTCCCTGGACAGAACATCAGACCACTCCAGAAGGAAGGGGAACTTCCAAGGCCCAGAATCAAGGTCAACAGGGCTGATTGCCACTCACCAGTCTTTTAAACTCCTCTTCAGTAAAACCCATTTCCTGTTTGGTCATCTGGTAGTCAGTGTCTAGGTTGGACTTGAAGATGAGCGGGTCGTCCGTGTTAAGGGAGTAGTTAGCCTTGTCATTTTTGAACCTGGATGAGGATGAGGGGAGAGAGGAGATGCACCTCTCCCAACTCTCCTGCAAACAATCCAGGAGGCACATTGGCTTTTGCCCCGCTTTGAGCCTCATGGTCAACTTAGGCTTGGAAGATCTCATCCTCATTGTACAGAGGAAGAAACAAATCCAGAGAACTTAGGTGACTTATTCAAGGCTATATAGCCAGCAACCCAAGATTCAAGAGCCAACGGCCCCTGTAGCTTCCACCCTCTTTAACCTCCCGCTTCACCACCAGCAGCATGCTCTGCCTAAGACATTCCTTAAGCCCACTGGGGTCAGGCTCTTCCAACACATCATGGAAACTTCCTTGCAAGACCTTTTCCCACCATCTTATTAAATCCAGTGGACTTTTCCTAGTTCTTAAACCTTATTCGGCTGGGGCACAGCATTGGGTACTGTTGACTGTTGTTGAGACCCCCTGCACTTGGTATCCCAGAAACCACACTTGGTGTTTCTCTTATCTGTCCCTTAAGTGTCACTGCCTCCCTGGGTTCCATCCTAGGCCCTCTTGATCTGCACATCTCCTGGGACCATCATTTCTCCTCCAAACACTTTTATGCCTGGGCTGATGCCTCTTAAAGATTTCTCCAACTCATGTGTCTCCATAACTCTCCGACTGGACATTCCACTACTTCATACTCCATGTTCCTAAAGTCTCCTCAGGGTCCTCACAAGTTCTCAGACTCTTTCTAGTCAGGACTTTAGAACCCAAGTGTCTTCCCTTCTCATAAGCTGGCAGACCACCAGCATTGGCCTGGCAGCGATTCCCCGAGTTCTCCTACTCTTCCTGACTCTGAGAAAGGCAGTTCTGCCTTCTTGGGGGCGCTAGTCATAGGTCAGCTAGAAGGAGGACAAGAGCCTCCTAGTTAGGTTGCAGGTGGGGGCAGACCTTCAAGGGGAAGATTTTAAGATGGTATTCGGGGAATGCCCAGAGGTACCAAGAAGCCCCAAGGGTCAGGTGTCAGAAGCTTGGAGCCGTAGGTAGGAAGGATGTACCTCCCTGATGCCCGTGAGCACAGTGGGAGAATCAGGACCGTGACAGTTGTTCTTGGGGCTGTGGGACACTGCTGTAGCTGACTGAGCTATGGGACCCCAGCTCCGCTAGTCGATGTAGTAGCTGGGTGGCCTCAGTCATGTTAAAGCCTATCTCTGAGCTTCAGAGTCCACATCTGTAAGACAGGGCAGAAAGGCCTGCACTCCCTTCCCATCCTGGACTTTCCTGGTGCCCAACTGAAGGGGCCTCACCGAACAACTGCATGCTGGGTCCCCGGCTTCCAGGCGCCTGTGAGGTAACTGGACCAGGGGCAGACCTGAAAGAGCGGCGTGTGGGTGTGACTGGTACAGACAGCCCCCGGCCATGATGACCCCCATGTCCCTGGCACCATTCTTGCCATGGTCACCACCGGCCTCATTGTCACATGTCCCCTGAACCCACCAGTCCTTGCCTTGGCCACACCAGGGGCTATAATGGCCTGACCCACTCCCTCAGCTCCTGGGACCTCTGTCCTCTGCAGGGCAGCCAGTGCAAGCCCCTCCCCACGCCCCAGCCCTCACCTCGAAGTGCATGTTTTCCTGCCTCAGCCTGCTGTACAGGGCCTCGTCCTCCAGGGTGTGGTAACCATGACCCAGCCTCTCGGTCTTGAGCCTGTCCACGGCCTACAGAGAGGGAGTGAGGGCTGAGTGTGGGGCTGGTCAGGGGAAGCCAGCAGGGAGCAGCCCCGCGGCCAGCTGTCTGCTCACCTCTCTCACCACTTCAGCAGAGCCCACCTCCCCGGCATGCACAGTCCGGTGAATGCCGCTCCTCACAGCCTCCTGAAAGGACGAAAGCCAGGTCAGGGCAGCCCACAGGGAGGACTGAGTGTGCACAGTCAGGCTGGATTGGATTCTACTGGACGAGAAGTCTTGATCTTTAATGTGAATCGTTATTTGAAGGTTGTGGTTGTTAAGAGCTGTTGAGTCAGTTCCGACTCATAGGGAATCCTGTATGGGTTTCTGAGGAGGTAGCTGACATTTATTAGTTACCATGTGTCAGGCTCCATAATCATTTGTGTACATATTATTTATAGCTCACATGGGTCCCATTTTTCAGGGGTGGAGGAATGTAATTGACGCTTCGAACACAAGTGGCTGAGGAAGTGTGGAGCCAGCTCTGAACTTGGACAGTGGACTCTAGGACCCCTCCTCTTAGCCATCATGCTGCGCCCCTTCTATGGGTTGATTAGGCCAGAAGGGATCTTAGGGACATCACTCCAACTCGGCACACAGAAAAGGCGAGTCTTGCTCAAAGTCACACAGCAAATCATAAGCTCTGGTCCAGGCTCCCAATATCAAGTGGGGCATTTTCTCTATTCCAGAGCCCTGGTGGCACAATGGTTAAACGCTCCACTGCTAAAACAAGAGGTTGGTGGTTCTAATCCACCCAGCTGCTCCACAGCACAAAGACCTGGCCTATCGGCTTCTGTAAAGATGGCGCCTAAAAACCCTCTAGGGCAGTTCTACTCTGTCACAAGGGGGCGTTTGCATCAGAATCAATTCAACAACAGCCCAGCCCCTCTGCGCTTGGGAAGCTCCCCATCAGATGATCCCTCTCAGATGGCTCCCCATCAGATGGTGGGATGAGCTCCCGGCAACACACTCAGGCTACTCCTTGCCTTCCCCCTCCCAGCGCCCACCTCGTAGGCCTTCAAGTGGCCTTCAAAGAGGCTGCTTCCCTGGATGGTTTCATCTCCAGCCAGGTCGATGGCCACCACCGTCTTCTGCCAGTACTTTTTACACAGCTCCACCACCTCAGGAGACCAATCTGTGGATAAGATGCTCAAGCTGCTGAGAGAGTTACCCCCCAGCACTCCTACCCACCCCATCACTTCAAGGCCAGGGTAAGACAAAGGCTCTGCCTGGTCAGACACTGCAAACCCTGATGTGGTGCCTTAACCACAGGCCTCCACCCAGAGTCTCCCTGTTCCCTCCCCACAGTGGGTCAGGCCGGCTTTGCTGAGGCCAGCTCCACTCCCTCCCCACCACAGCCCTACAGGTGGGCTCTCCCCCACTCAGCAGCTGAGGACACGAGGCCCACAAAGTTGAAGAGGACAAAGGATGCGGTTTGATATTTAAACTAAAAACAGATCTTGCCCTAGGATTACTAACTATTCACGCCCTCTTGACCAATAAAGTTACCATGAGTGCTCAAAACAAAAATGAACACAGATTTTGGGGCCAGATGACCCTGAGTTCAAATGTGGCCTATGTGCCTTCCTCTCCCTTTCTCAGCTTTCTCATCTTTCTCATCTGTCTGTCAAATGGGGCTAAACAATGGTGGCCCCGCTGCCAGGGCATCTGTCTGTCAAGTGGGGCTAAACAATGGTGGCCCCACTGCCCGGGCTGAGGTAAGAATGAGAGTGGAGGTTGGCCTTAGTCCTCGGCTTGGTTTTCTTAGAGCAGAGGAATGAGGAAAGTGGGATCGTCTCCTTGTGCCTACGCAAGACTGAGGTTAGAGAGGGACTGTTACATTCTGGAAGCCCAAGTCCTACAGATCAGTTTAGTGTCAATTACCAGAGACACCCCGCAGAAGTCCCAGAAGTCAGTTCTTCCCACAGGTTTTAGGCCCAGACTGGACAAGACCACGGGGCCTCAAGGAAGGACCCCACTGATGGGCTCCAGGGGACACATGGAGTGAAGGGGTGCAAGGGAGAGTGGATAGCCTGTCTCCTCCGGGGCCAGAGGCTAGTGGGCAACACAGTCCGACAAACAAGCACTCACTGGGCTCATGGCGCATGCAGCACAGAATAGACCGGACCTTGATCCCAAAGTCACGTTCCCCTTCCTGCAGGCCTTGGTTCACCAGATCCACTACCTCATCCGGGGTGAGGTCCCCTCTGTGTGGAGAGAGACAGGAATGGGCCTGAGGTAAAGGAAATGCCTAAGAACAGACCAGGGAAGAGGGGAAGAGGGGAAGGGGATCAGGGAAAGGAAGAGGAAAGCGGGAAGAGAGATGGCCCTCCCGTACACACCCCTTCCAGCTGCCCGGGCATCTTTAGACCCTGGAAGGTATACTCTGGTGGGTGACTGCACCCCAGGGGAAAGCCTGCTAAGCTGCACCTGCTCTGATCCCCCTCTAGAGCCCCAGGGACCCACCACTTGTCCACTTGTCCACAGACACCTGGAGACCCATGCAAGTCCAGGAAGGGGTAGGGGTGCGTCAGACCTATTTCAGTTACATGGTTAGAGCCGGGCCCCTGAAAGCTACTGAGTAGGAGGGCTAAAATCCCTACACCTGCAGGCCTGTGTCGAGAGCTAGGGGTCCCATGGGACAGGATGCAGGATGCAGTAGAAAGTTTTCCCATGGGACAGGATGCAGGATGCAGTAGAAAGTTTTCACCCCAGGTCAAAGTCCATAAGCCTAAGGTCAAGCTATATATCCAAGGGGAGGGATGGACAGTTACACCCCATTTTTCTGAGGTCATGGACAAGATCAGGGGTCAGACTACAGTCTTGCCTGGAATAGGAATGTCCACCTGAGTCTCAGGGTGAAGTCACCTCCACACCTTCAGCATTTCCCCACCCTGGTGGTCACTCACTCAACCTGGTTCCAGGAGAGGGGCTTCACTTTGGAGTTGGCCAGCAGGTGTGGGCTGTAGCGCACCTCCACATACACCACTCCCTCTTTGGCCTTCATCTCCACAAACTCATAGGCAATCCTTTTGATGGCCTCCCGGCAGCCCCTGAAAAAAGAAGAAGGGTCTCTTGGGAACTCCTCCCTGAGGCTTTATTGTTCTTTGTGGCCCTATGTGTCTCTTCATTAGCAGATTCTAGTCTCCCCTACAGAATGCTGGGACTTGTTCATCTAGCTCTGCCTTCAGCCTTGATCATAGTGGTCACTCATATATTTGATGAGTGGTGGAAGGCAGAGAACAGAAACAAGAGGAAAGGGATAGATGGGCAAATCCAGAGGGAGCGCTGGGATGGGAGAGACCTCTGGGACTCAATTATGGACTGGGTCCTGCTTCTCAACGCTTGCCTGCTGTGTGGCCGTAGGTTAGTTAATCACCCTCTCTGATACCTGTATCAAAGGGTTATTGTGAGGCCAGTGCTTGGAACACTGGCATGTGCTCAAATATTTTAACTGCTGTTATTAGTGTGCCTTGGCTGTGGGGAGGTCCAGCAGCGAAGTGTCTGGAAAGCAGAGACATTCTTCTCTCTAGCAGGCCCAGCTCACTGTGGCAGGGCTGAGTTCCAGGAAACAGGCCCTAGCTCCACCGTCTGCCCCAACGCTTTCTCTCTGCAGGCTGGGATGGGGTAGGAGAGGTTGAGGCAGCATCAGTCCATCCTCATCTTCAAAGCATGAGTATAGTCAGTCCCCAACTTACCAAGCATTACATGGACCACACTTAAAACTGCCCTGTTTTCTTTGCATAGCTTATTGTTAGTTATGCACAGTGTACTGTAGGATAAGCATTGGACTTCAGACTGCAAGCTTTCTGGTCTCAAAAAGATGTACAGCTTCAGAAAACCTAGAAACCCTGTACAGGGTCAGTATGAGTCAGAACTGACTCGATGGCACTTAACAAGAACATTGTTAGTAATTAACAACCTGTGGGACACAGATGATGACACAATCTTGCTGAAAGCCAAGAGGACTTAGCACTTACTGATGAACAGATGAAAAAATACAGGCTTCGGTATGGATGACAGACAACTCAATGAAAAGAAAAGAAAACTTCTTCCAACTGGATCAATAAACAACATCATTATAAATGGAGAGAGAAATTGAAGTTGTCAAAGATTTCACTTTACTTGGATCCACAATTAACCTCCATGAAAGTAGCAGTCAAGCAGTCTCACTGGTGTATTACATTGGGCAAATCTACTGCAAAAGACCTCTTTAAAGTGCTGAAAACCAAAGATGTCACACTGAGAACTAAGGTGAGCCTGCCAAGCCATGATAATTTTCAATCACCTCATATGAGTGTAAAAGCTGGAAAGTGAATGTTTTTGTTGTTGTGAAGTGTCATAGATTCAGCACTAACTCAGAGCGACCCTGTATAGGGTTTCCAAGGAGCGACTGATGAGTTTGACCAACCAACCTTGTGGTTCAAACCGACCTTGTGGTCCAGGGCTTTATCCCAGAGTGCAGGACTCTGGAACGTGAATAAGGTAGACCAAAAAAGAATGGATGCATTTGAATTATGGTGTTGGTAAAAAATATTGAATATACCATGAACTGCTGGATGAATGAACACATCTATCTTGGAAGAAGTACAGGCAGAATGTTTTCCAGTTCCTGGGAAAGGACATCATGCTTGGTCAGTGAAAAAGAGGAAGGCCCTCAATGAGATGGATTGGCACAGTGAGCCCAAGAATAGCAGTGATTGTGAGAATGGCATAGAAGCAGGCAGTGGTTCACTCTGTTGTACATCGGACACTATGAGTAGGAACCGACTCCATGGCACCTAACAACATTGTTAGTAACATGTACCGCATACAATGTTGCAGCCTGTAATGTGCTGACACTATCATTCTCAAATGTTCACTGGCAGATATTCAATTTTATGATTCAAACACTGATGCCTACACCTTTCATTTTCCCAACATAAATCAGGGACTTCCGTTGCTTGAAACAATGAACCCAAATGTTGATCACTTGGCTAAAGTCAACAGGCAGACTCAGGAAGCAGTGAGAGGCGACCAGGAAATACAAGGAACAAACAAGAAAAGGCCCATGCAGACAACTCAGTGATTTTTCTGACTAGAAGTATCTTCTCCATTCCCAGGAATGATCCAGATGGCCCAGAACCTTCCACAAGTGGAGTTATCACCACAGCTGACAAAATGCCAACATTGTCCAATTCTTCACATCCGAGTAAATTTTTACAACGTACATTTTTATGCTGTTGTTAAATGCTGTCGAGTCAGTTCCAACTCAGTGACCTTGTTTAGGGTTGCTGGGGAGCAGCTGGTGGGTTTGAGCTGTCAACCTTGTGGTTAGCAGTCCAATGTGTTTAGCCTACAGAGCCACACTAGCACCTTTTATTATACATGTGTTAAGTTATATATGTAAGTTTATATGTAATGCTTCCAAATCCCAAAGACAAAGATTGGTGTTAAGTGCTGTTGAGTTGGTTCTGACTCATAGTGACCCTGTATAGGGTTTCCAAGGAGTAGCTGGTGAATTTGAACTGCCGATCTTGTGGTTCACAGTCCAGTGCTAATCCTACAGTGACATACCAGGAATTCAAGACAAAAATTAGATTGATAAGATTTATAAATTATTATCAGCATTTATAAAATTACTGATAATAAAAGATAATGAAATGATATCATATTTATTAAAATATTGATAATAAAGGTAATCATAATGAAAACTTAAAAAAAAAAAAATAGGAATCTGACTGGTGTCAGAACCAACTTCTGTCAGAGTGGTCCGAAGGGGGATTCGGAACGGGGACTACGTGCCCCAGCATCTGTCCCTGTCTACTGTGCTCTCATGTGCCTGCCTGCCTGCATGTAGGAGCTGAAGGCATTTCAGCTCACTTTCCAAAAGGGAAACGGAAGCCCTGAGGCCAGAGAGATTTGCTCAAGTACACACAATAGTGAGAAGCAGAGCTGGCGTTTCAGGCTGGGGCAGTGGCCTGGTTCTCTTACAGCACAATGGATGGTGCTGCCCCAGGGTCTGAGGGTAGGGGCAACTCACGCAATAACAGGCATGTAGTAGTTGAACTTGGCCAGGAATTCCGGAAGGCTGAGCGGCTTGTCCATGCCGATGATATTCTGCAGCCCCTCCACTGTGTCAGCCGGGAGGGAAATCCCTCTCTTCCTGGGAACAAAAACAATGAAGGGAGTGGATGAGTTAACATGGAACATACTTGGACCAGGGCAGGCTATGAGATTGCTCCATCCAAGTCTTTCCATTGGACAGATGGGAAAACTGAATCCAAGGCATAGAGAACTAGTACCAAATCCTTCCAAATACCTCCTGCCCCCAAGGCAATGGCAAATTAGCATATCTCACAGGGGAGGGGGGAGGACAGAGGTCAGAGTGCATACCCACATCCTGGTGGGTGTAGGCGACAAGAAAAAGCGCAAGTCTGTGATTTCCTCAGCCTCAGAAGTGGGTAGAGCCAGCTGGTCCTGTGACAGGCCACGGATTACAGGAGCAACAACTGCAGCAGTACAATTCCTGGGGCAGGGCCAGCGCCAGGACTTTCCTCCTCTGCCCTCAGTCACGTTGGCACATCAGAGAGGCTTGGTCATTCCAGTATACCAGGAAAAGGTCCTGACATGTAGGTGAGCTGGCCTTTAGCTCAGAGTTCTCTCCTACATGGGCTGGACCAGGTGGCCACTGGGCTTCCGTTACTCATTAGCATCTCTCTCTCCCCTCCCAGCTGTGGGAAGCTGGAGCAAGCTGCCACCTCTTCTACTCTCTGGCTTTGCCCAATGCACGGTGTCACCTTATGCCTCAGTTTTCCCACTTTTCAATAAAGGAACAGCATCCAAGGAAGGCCAGACATTCAAGGAACACGAGGGACAGAGACCAAGACGTGAGAGCAGGCAGAAGGAATGCTGAGGTGCAGACAAGGCAGAGAACAGAAGCAAGCTTAAGAAAACCACCTAAAATTAAGATCCTCAAGGAGGGGAAAAGATAACATATACCTGGCACAAAACCTGGATGCCATATAGCTAGCTAGCTAGATAGTCCTGGTGTGGTGCTATGGATTAATGTGCCAGACTGCAAAGCTGTTTGAACTGCAAGGTCAGCAGCTCAAACTCACCAGCTGCTCCTCGGAAAGTCTATACAGGATCACAGCCAACTCAACAGCACTTAAAAACAACTATATATATATATATATATATGGAGCTCTGGTAGCGTAGTGGTTACAAATCGGGCTGTGAGCTGCAAGGTCAGCAGTTCGAAACTACCAGCGGTTCCGTGGAAGAAAGATGAGACAGTCTGCTCCTGTAAAGATTTACAGCCTTGGAAACCCTGTGTAGGGTCGCTATGAGTCTGAACCGACTCCACGGCAAACAACAACATATATATAGATAGATAGAGAGAGAGAGAGAAAATATGGGCTAGGGTGGAGGTGCAGTGAGGATCGCCATCAGCAATACCACAGAATATCAGGCAAAGCAGATTCAGGGCAGAGCTCCTAAACTTGGAACCACGTAGGTAGGAATATTTTTAGAAGTTTGAAGGCTTATAGCTAGGGGAACTTGTAGCAGAAGTAAGAAATCATGTACTTTTGAATCTGCCGGGCTCAGTGGCCCGGAGCCGACAACTTGGGTGAGACTAAATGGCAAGACCAAGTCGGGGAGCCGAAACACCACGGAAAAATGCCGCGGGAATCTCAGAGCAAAGGTGGACAGCACACTTTATCAGTTTTGCTTTGTTCTGATTTTCTTTCTTTTGGTATCTGTTCATTAGCCCCCTCACTGTTTGTACACCTCCATTCTGGTGACTAGAGGGAATGCCTGAGCGAGTGGACACCCCCACTCTCACCACTGGGGGGGGGGGTGATACTTTCAGCACAAGAGCCAGCCTGACACTGTTTTTTTGTGTTGTTTTTTTTTTAATACGGAAAAGCCAGAAAAAAGGGTGTGGAAAGGGAAAGAGTTTAAAAACAAAACAGGCTGACTATTAAATCCTGAGGTACAGCATAACAACCAACAGTGGCATCTTGAAATCTATCAGGCAGTTTGAAGGCAAGAAGCTGAAAGAGGACATTAAAGCCATACTCATATTAGGCTACAGATTTTTTTTTCTTCTCTCCCTCCTCTCCCTTTTCTGTGATTATAGACTACAGTATCCAGTCTAGTTTTTTCTTGTTGTTATTTCTTGTTTTTTGGGGTTTATTTTGCTGGTGCTCTTTTGCTGTTTTAGGCTCCCCCTTCTACCTTTGGAGGACTCTTTATCTCCCTATATTACCCAAGTAGAGACAGCAATTGCTGCCATATTGTCAAGCTACAATCACACTCTATAAAACACCCAAATCCACATGAGAACCAATACCAACTGCC